CGACAGACTGGCGACCTGTCCAGGGTGTACCCCGCCTCTCGCCCTATGACAGCTGGGATAGGCTCCAGCGCCCCCCGCGACCCTGAACAGGATAAGCGGCCGCGAATGGATGGATGGATAATAACAACAATAATAATAATAACAATAATAATAACAATAATAATAATAACAACAACAATAATAATAACAATAATAATAACAATGATAATAACAATAACAATGATAACAACAATAACAATAATAACAACAATAACAATAATAATAATGACAACAACAATAATAATAACAATAGTAATAATAATAATACCAATAATAATAATACCAATAATAATAATAACAATAATAATAATAACAACAACAATAATAATAATAACAATAACAATAATAATAATGACAACAACAATAATAATAACAATAGTAATAATAATAATACCAATAATAATAATAACAATAATAATAATAACAATAATAATAATAATAATAATAATAATAATAATAATAATAATGCTCTCTCCATGTATTTAGCCTCGAGCTCTCCTGATGCCAGCCGAGGATGAGACCGGTTGTTTGACACCAGCACGCAGTTTCCACCACACGCCACGGCTGACTGCAGACACGGCACAGAAAACCTCCGACAGACCCCAGTGCGTTCGTGGCCAAACTGACATCATCTGTTGATGCTTATAAGTCCGTTTTTATCTCGAATTACTTCCCATTTTTATTCTTTCTGCTTTTTTATTTAGTGCTATTTTATCCGAGGCACAGCCGAGCCCACGTAGTTTCGTATAATAACGATTCAGGTCTTTGCTTTATGAATGCTGAGGGACTGACAGGCTGTTTCCATCTCTCACAGACACAGATGATGCTTTTATTTAGCAGGACCAAAACCAGGTGGTGCCGCTGATGAAGCATTCGTAGAAATGCCGGTGAGGTGATGACTCATGTGCGCAAACAGCAACAAATGCAAGGAGCGAGCTTTCAAAACGCCAGGTTTGAGCAGGGATGGGTATCGTTTAGGTTTTATCCGATACCGGTGCCAAACCGGTACTTTTGAAACGGTGCCGGTGCTTAAAGAATGGAGAACACACACTTTGTCCAAAAACCTCTCATGTTTAACTGTTTTCCACTTTTTCTTTGGTCATTTTAGCCTTTTTGGCCAGGGTGAAGGGAGTATCTGCCATCAAACAAGAAGACAGCCGCATGTAGCTATGATGGTGTTTGCTAGTTCAGCTTACATGCATTAATGTAATAACGTGGTTAGCCTACTCAACGTAAATTACACACGAACAACATTAAGCGACTCACGCAGAGAAGAACGGCTGCTGCTGCATCATCATCCTCATCATTTCTGCTACACTGGCAGGGCTAGGGGCCAGGACTCTCCTCTTCGGGTTTTTGGGGGATGTTGCTAACTCCGGGTCTGCTAACAGGCACCACACCCGCAGTAGATGTGCTCGGTGTGAGGTCTCGCAGCAAGCTATCAAATACGCCGCATTTCTCGGCTTTTAAAAAAAACGCTATGCGTCGCCAGGTGTTTCATCAGATTCGAGGTGTTACCTCCTTTGACAGTATCACAGTATCAGCTCAAAGCACTTGTTGCTGCTGAGTTTGCATCTTTTGCTGTGAAGTACAGCCAGACTTTGACCGCTTCGCCTTGGGCATTTTTAATCTGTAGCTCTGCTCTAAAAGAACGTACGTACCTGGGCCCGCCTACTATCATCGGAAACGTAAAATGATTGGCTAGAATCCAAAGTGTATCACAGCTCAGGGAAAAGAAAGGACCGAAATAAAGCACCGAAATGTGCGCTGCTTTTCGGTCTGGTTACTACCGTTTATGTCAGAATCCGGACACCGGTACCCATCCCTAGGTAGGAGCAGCAGGTGCAGCCGTGCACCTCCTGCGGACATGGACACTTTGAAAACACACTTTAATATTTGTACTTTTTGGAAACGAAGCTCCAGAAACACGAGCTGTGAAACTCCTTCAGCTCTTTAGTCTGTGACGTTTTCGTGGCCGTAAATAATCCGAGTTCTTTATCGGCCCCAGTGCGTGGATCGTGATTAACCAGCGCGCTGTGATGTTGACATCAGCACTGAGAAAAGATCAAACCAGCTGCTGCACGAGCTTTTTATTTTTAACCTCGTGCACGACAAACGATCCCGAGAAAATCAGACACAGGTTGAGCGACTCCACGCGTGTCTGCGGAGTGCTCCACATGAAATCACAATTCTTGATTCATCCATCAACAGTCACGCACTGGATCACATTAGATAACACAAGAAATGACAAAGTTTACCAAACACTCCTCTTCGTGGCGTGTGTGTGGGAAGCAGATGAAGAGGATGAGAAAGAAAAAACTGGAAAGAGGAAATGAAAATATAAAAACGTTAAATGGTTCTTTGAAACAGATCCTGGTGATTTTAAACTTCAGGTAACTCAGAATTATTATGCTGTTGTTTATCTGATGCTCGTCTCTGTTGATTGGTTTTTGTATTCTTCTATCTGAAACAGGAAAGTAATTAAAACGATCACTGCACCCAACTGTAAGCAGAGAGGGGTAAAAAGTCGTGACTCATGTGTAAGTTCCCTCTGAGTGACTGGGCGTGACCTCTGCCCCTCATCACGTCCAGCATGGCGGACACACTCTCGCATGGTCCAACAGGGAGAACCCTCACTGTAGGACACACACACACACACACACACACACACACACACACACACACACACACACACACACACACACACTGTGGGTCTTAATGCCACTTAAGGCTGTTAGTGTTTCCTGTTGATGGTCAGCAATAACCTCTTCAGAAGCCATCCTTTTCCACTCTGCAGAGCTACACACACACACACATATAATAAAATGTACACACTCTTTGATTTCACAGCCTTTAACTGAACGAAGTCTCAGATGGAGGGACGGGGGGATCACGGGGACACCACCTGGGTCTTCATAAACCACCTCATTTGAACAGTGCAGGTGTGTCAGTGTGTGTGAGGTCACTGCAGGTCACACTGAGCCTCTGTGTGAAGTGTGGACTCGTGTTTCTGGAGGAGCTCTTCTCCTCCTGTGGATCCTGGTCACACTGCCTCCAGACCCACCTGAGACCCACCCGACCTGATCCACACGAGCTCGTTTTCATTATGTTGCAAACCTGCACGCTACTTCTACCTGTCACTTTGCTGCTGGGACACCTGAACTCCCCTGATGAGGGACAGTAAAGGATATTTCTGAGCTGCTGTACTCACTCTCACCAAACTCCTGCATGAACTGAGCACAAACAGCTTCTCTCACAGACGTTTCTAATAAACGTGGCCTGGGGTCATCAGGTGGTCATCAGGTGGTCACAGGGTGGCGGTGTTCTGAGAAACCATCCTACTGACAAAACGTCCTACCCGTATTATAATTTGACGGTGACTTGCGAATAAACCTAACCCTACCCCTAACCATAACCATAACCTTAAGAAGTATTCCGGCTGGGTGAGAGAAAAAGAAGTTAATCGGCGTTGGTGTTGTGCATGCGCCGCGTCTGCGCAGAAACATTGGGATGTCTTTTCAGGTAGGATGGATTCCCACAACAGCGTCACTAACCATCATACAGGCGCTTCATCAACATCAACCCCGCCCCTATCGCCTCAGACCCTGTGTCAGGAGGCGGGAACTGAGGGCAGAAAGCATAAATCAGATTGGTCCTTACGTGGCGATTGTGGCTCAAGAGTTGGGAGTTCGCCTTGTAATCGGAAGGCTGTCGGTTCGAGCCCCGGCTTGGACAGTCTCGGTCGTTGTGTCCTTGGGCAAGACACTTCACCCGTTGCCTACTGGTGGTGGTCAGAGGGCCCGGTGGCGCCAGTGTCCGGCAGCCTCGCCTCTGTCAGTGCGCCCCAGGGTGGCTGTGGCTACAATGTAGCTGCCATCACCAGTGTGTGAATGAATGGGTGGATGACTGGATATGTAAAGCGCTTTGGGGTCCTTAGGGACTAGTAAAGCGCTATATAAATACAGGCCATTTACCATTTATCTTAAACGCTTCGCTGCTGTGACATTGAAGAGCAAAAAATGTGTATATCAAGAGCAGAGTAATCTGATTACTTCTTATCCTTATTGCTGTGGACTACACGTTGAAGTCAAGTTGTCTTTATGTGCAGTGGAACCAGAGGTCAAAGGTCAGAGGTCTGTTTGCACACACAGAGAAAACCTCTCTCTGATAGATCCTCCTTCATCTTCTTCTGCTGCAGCTTAAACTTCACTCCGCTCTCCACCTGTGGAGCTGGCTCTGACACGTGACTCAACGCGGAAGCGGAAACACAGCAGCGAAGTGGCAACAGCTGAGCAGCCCAGCAGAGATCGTCTATGAGGGCGACGCTCTGCTCAGAGTTTAAAGAGACCGGAAACGGCTCCGGAGTACGTGTTCACCGAGAGCTGCAGGAAGTGCAGCAATGAACAAACATATTAAAAACCGATCAGTGTTATTGATCACTGATAAATATCAGACAACAGTGAGAACTCTTAAAAAACATTTTTATTGACTGAAAACATTGCACACAAATTCTTTGTGGCCTTTTTAGGGTCATTTGTAGGTTCTCACGGGTCTTTGTGAGTCTCTGAGTTGGTTTGTGATGTTATTTCAGTCAAAGCTCTGATATATTACCATCGAGCATTAAGACCAGGATTCTTCATTAAAGGTCTGAATCTTTTTGGTCATGCTGAGCTTCCTTGTTTAACGGTTTGTGTTATTTTGTGAGAGCTTGCGCATCATTTGTGTTGATATCTTTGCTAAAGTTGTATTATTTGGTAGAATTCGTTTTAAAGCCAGCTTTTATCGTGTCCGTGTGGCCACGCGGGCTCTTGCACTTTCAGTAGTTTCATTCGAGCGCGGTGCAGCTCCGGGTCTAGTTTTTCTCTCGGAGTGACACCTCTCGCCTCTTTCTTCAGAGCAGCTAACAGCGCGAGCTAATCCGGCTAACAGCTAACGGCTAACGGCTTGCTAGTGGCGCTATGATGGCGGAGCTGGTGCAGGGACAGGCCTCGATGAACCAGCCGGGGCTGAAGTCAGAGGGCCTGGCCGATGTTTTGCAGCGGGCCCGGCAGGTAACAACTCCACCCGGGCTCAGCCCACACCCGTTCCGGGCCGAATCGGGTCGTTTAGATCGAGCCAAAGCACTTTTATCGGAATTGTCCGTGTTTTGCTGCTGCTACTCGAACTTGTACCACACACACACACAGTTACACTCACACACTCCGCAGCATGCTAACTAGCTAGAAGCAGCTCGGAGTTGGACTTGTGGCCGCTTGTGTAAACTTTTCCGGTGCTGACACGCTCCGGGAGAGAGTTTGGGGGGAGTTTGCCGAGCTGTCACCCAGAGGGGAGCGCGCTGGGACGGCGGAGGGGAGACGAGGGTGGGGGGGAGCGGGACAGAAGTTTGGCCACACGTGTCACTCCGCCAGCGGGCAACCTGTTGGGCTGCGAGGGGCAGAAAGGACGCGGGTCACCGGGGTTACTGCGCCTTCTGCCCCCGTCGAAGGTCTCCTGCAGGCCGGGGGTGTCTGTACCGAGTCCCAGCGGTTAATCGGGGAGCCGGGCCCCCTCCCCCCCAGGCTGCTGTTTACTGTAAGTTGGTTAGAAAGTAGGCTGGCGTTACGCAACAGCCTGAGAGCCATATACAGGCAGGAGGTGTGTCTGCGCCTATAGACAGACAGGTTCACCCTCCTGTGTCTGCGTGCACCACACTCTGCACTTCTGCCTGCGTGCACCACACCTAAGAGTCAGCCTCAGGTAAACAGACAAGTGAGCGTGCCCTTTAAATTGGCACCCTGACCTCTGAGTGCCACCCCAGCCAATCACAGCCTGCTCCCCCAGGACTGACTGAAGAACTCCTCCAGGCACCGGTAACTTTCACCTGAAGACCTGAGAGCTCACAAAGTCACAGCGAGTCTGTCCGGCAATAGTTTCCCTGTTAATGGGTCTGTTTTATTGGACCAGAAACAAGCCAGTGCCACAGGTGTGTTCCTCCAGGTGTCACTGCGGTGACCTCAGGTGTGAGGTGCACGCAGTCTGCAGGAAGTTGGATCATTTGTGTTTTACTTCCTGTTAGTGTGTTGTCTCTTAAACTCCCTTAACTCTCAGCCGCACTCTGTCACACTGGGTAAAAACATCCGTCACTGCCCGCTAACACCTGGCCTGGGGCGACGCTCGGTGGGCGATGCAGACTAACCAGGCGCAGTCCTCCGTGTACAGAGTGCTCGGCGACTTCCTGGCAACCACCAGTTGCTAAGGAAAAATGTGTTGAGTGGTTGCTGCTTGTCATCGCGTAGAATTGGTCATGAAACGATGCTTTACCAAAAACCTCGGTGCGATTGCTTTGGTTACCAGCACGTTGATTCGATCGTTTGTAGTTTACATGCGGCCAACCTGTCTGCAAACTCTCACAAAGCGAAGTGAAACATGCGACTCAAACGGGAAATGTAGAACGCTCGTCTTCAAAGTAAAAGCTGTGCTTTTTGTTAGTGATAAAGGATGACTTTCACTTTGAAGGGAAACATTCTACATTTCCGGTTGGTGTCGCAGTGTATTTAGCGTCTTCCATCAGCCAGCTCGCTGATTTGATGGTGATTAGAATTTTTTCCCCCCCAAGTCTGGTCAAAGTTTAGCTCCACCCTGTTCCTCTGATGATGGTTTACACCAAGTGAACCTCCACTAAAGAAACTGCAACACCTCCAGCAGATGGTCAGGAATCGCACACTTCGCCTCTCATTTACTACGTAGGAAGTGATGTCACAGTGTTACCATACTGAACTGTGGAATCACTTCTTCTTTTTGAGTGCAAGTGCTGCTGCTGACCAATGAAATCATGCTCTGGAAATGTGTTAGGACAGCGAGCTGGTTGTGAGACACCGGCCTGCTGCAAGTTGGTAACCTGCTGCTGCCAGCACTGGTGATGTTAGCTATGTTGTGCTAACTCACAACGTTTGTGTGTATGTGTGTCAGATGTGCAACAGATGTGTGAGACATTTAAAACGTGACTGGATTTTGAGGTTTGTGACTTGATGTTTGTGCGGTCAGCGTTTAGCTCCCTCTCGGTTTTTCGGCTGCTGGACTCGTGGCTGCTCTCGTGTTTTCTCTTAATGAGTAAATTTGTTGATGTGTTCATCCTGAGAGCAGTCAGCAAGCTCTTATTTTGAAAAGTCAGTTGTCGTTAACCAGTTGTCCCTGGTCCTTACGAGTAAGTCACGACAGTCCTTCATGTCATTAGCAGCTTCTCGTCCTTTTGTTGGAGGCTTCTCCTCCTTTGTGCCGCACTCCAGGTGTGACGGTAACCTTGGTTCTGTTCTTCACACCAGAACCTGCAGCAGGTGAAAAATGGTTCATGAGCAGAACTGGGACCATTTGGAGAATAACGTGGAGAAGAATGAGTGTTCGAGCTCAGGAGAGGCGGTGGGGGAGCCTCTCCTGAGTGTGGAAATCTCACCACTAATGTCAGTAGATTGGAATTATTTAAGTTCTGTTTTCTTTCTCAAAGTTTAAGGGCATAATCTTCGCTGTGTTGGCTGCTGGTTCTCACATTTAAGGCTCTTCAAGAACAAGCACCATCATACATCATTGAACTCTTACAGCCCTATGCCCCTAGTAGGTCTCTGAGGTCTTGTGGTCAGGGCCTACTTGTTATTAAGTACACGAGACTGAAAACTAGGGGTGATCGAGCTTTTGCTACTGTGGCCGCCAGACTGTGGAATTCTCTTCCTCAGAACTTAAGATCTGCTGATTCACTGATTACTTTTAAAAAACAGCTAAAAACACATCTTTTTAAAATTGCATTTTGTTAACTTTTGACTGTACTTTGTCTTTTTAATCTGTGTCTATACCTTGTAAAGCACTTTGTGATCTCTTATCTAGAAATGTGCTATATAAATAAAATTTTACTTACTTACTTACTGAAAGACAAACAAATCTAGCTGCTGTT